TCCCACTACATTTCACTTTTTTCTTCTCTTTTTCTTCTTTAAAAAAAAGAAAAAAGTCACTGATGATGAAGAAACTAATATTTAGTTCTGCTTTCTACTGCACTGCAAAAACTGTCCATCTTACCAAGTTTTAAAATTTATATCAGCCAAAAAGTCATTTTGATCTTGTTTTGAGACTGATTTACTAAACAAGAACTGATCGTGTAAGAATAATAATCTTGTTTTCAGAATGTGTAAGATTATTTGTCTTGTTAGYCTGAAAATTTGACTCAAATTAASTCAAAAACTTCTGCCAATGGAGTAAGAAAAWTTTACTTGTTAAGAYTCTTGAAATAAAAAATGAGTCAAATCAAGTATTTCAGAGACAACAGATGAAAATTAACCTGTGGCTAACTCTGGCACATTTACAGAAATGTTGATTAATGTGCATTGTCCCTTCTAAATAAATAAATTCMGTTTTTTGCAGTGTGAGGTGGCTAAAAAAGGACCTAAGGTAACCTGTAAAATATTTTTCATTTAAATCCATAAAAGGCTTCTGCCCTTTCACCGCATGATCAAAGTGCCTTTAAAAGCCCTGCGCCTTGACAATAGTGCGCTGCCTTTAGTGCGAAGGTGTGGCAGCCTATTATCACATGCATCAGAGAGCACTCACTTGGGYGGGCAGAGGACATCCTCGAGAAACTCCTCGATCTTGTTGACATCGGTTCTGACCTCGCCGTTGAACGTGATGAAGGGAGGGTGTGTGCCAGGGGCCAAGTTCTGGAGGTCTGCRGGCTTCCTGTTAAAGTAAGAAAAGTATTTAAGTGCTGAAGTGGATCTAAAAAATCTCCATATGTTTTGTCTTTATCTGTGTGTGTGTTTGTCTCAAGGAGTGTTTGCGTCTCCTCTTTTCTATAGCCTCCAAASCAGCACACTTTGTACCAGCTGGCAGGCAGCTGACACGGCCGCGCAAACAGAAATAAGCATGTGTTGAATGAGCTGTGTGAACACAACTGAGAATTCAAAAGGACACAAACAACATAAAACACAGCAGTGACTCAACAGCTGACTCAACTGAGCCAGCAGCTCAGTGATATTAATGTCACCTACAAAAACAAACCTCTATGGAGACGAGAGGGTTTTTTGCGACCACGGTGGCTGAAATTTGGGAAAAGCCATTTAAGGCCACCAAAAGAGGGGTGGAAATGACCTCAACTCTTTGGCATGTTAAGGGGGTGTGGTACAGTTCCTCTAAGATACCACTGAGAAGTGCGCACGAAGATAGAAGAAAACAAAAAGTAAAGACTCAAGTTTATGTAAAGTATATTGTCTTAGTCCGAATTTTCTTTCACGGTAACATGTTTTGTATCCCCGGCTCTTCCAGTTAAATTTCAACAGTAAAAACYGCTATAAATATAGCAAACACACGCCTCCTTTCGCAAAACAAACATTTTATGTTGACTCAAGATAAGAGAATCCAAATGGCACAGAAAAATTGCAGCTATGAGTCATACCTCAAAGAAACTAAAAGTAAAAAGTACACAATGCAGCTGGAGTAAGGGAAAATACACAAAGTATAGAATAACATTTCCTGCTTCTTTACACCGTTTGTTTCAACAACCAGCTTGACAGTAAATGTGAGGTAAATGTATCCAAATGTATCTAATCTTGGCACTAACTGAACGTGCAGATGTGACAAAAAACAGACAAAAAGTCAAATAAGCACCACTTCTATCTACAGAGCTGAGCGAGAAAGTAACTCAGTTATGTCTGCTTTTATGATAGATTTATAGTAAGGAGCTTCTGGTACTAGAAACCCACATGTGAAAGTAAATATTCCTGCAGCTGAGAGGGAAGTTTAAACTGCAGGAGATMACCCTTTTCTGATTCCAGTGGTCAGAAAAACATGATCCCCATCAAAATCTAGGCAGGAAGTAGGTTAAGTCAAGAACCTTAAAATAGCTCCCCCACAGTCTGGGTGTTTATTTGTCTCTGATTTTCTCCAGCCTGTGAAAAGGGTCATGGGAAATCCAAATAAGCAATAGAGAATCAGTGAGGGTGTTAAAGGAGGGGCCGAATTTAAGTGTTCCAATAAGGCTGAAATGTCTGCGGACMCGCCCAGGAAAGCAAATCAAAACAAGAAGAGTAAAGAAGAGTTTAAAAGCAAATAAATGACAGTAAAAAAAAACAACAGAAAAACAGAGTACAATAATAGAATCACCTTTTAAGGTCTACTGTGGTGACGTTGAAGACGACTCCTTTGAGCCACAGAATCATGAAGAGCCTCTGGGAAAAGGGGCAGTTTCCGATGCTCTCACCATCACTTCCCGCCTTGAAAAAATAAAATAAAATAAACAATCAGGCAATTAGAGAAGCAGAGTACCTACTTTGTTATGTTTCAGGCCTTATTACTAACAACACRGTGCACAACATGATGAAAAAACAAGTCAGAGGTAATTATTACAAGCACAAAACACAGTTCAACTAGCCAGGACCCCCAAGTATTCTATAACTGATAACAGAGATAAAACTTGAGGTTGAAACTTGTAAAGGCCATAATACTTATGGTAAATATTTTTCTGTGTTGCGAAACCTTTACAAGGTTTAGGGCGTTTCGCTTCACTTACTCAGTGAGGGTCTATTTGAAATAATAACACTTTCAGGCTTCCTTCATTTAAAAAAAAACTTAGGGGGGAGGGGAACTGGTGAACGGACCTCTCTGTCGTTAGGACTTTAGCACATCATTTCATTCATCTCYAGAAGCACTTTTAAGAGTAAACGGGATCCTTATAGGGATTAGGTATCACATGGTTTAATATTAAATGCTAAAATCTGGTACAAAGTGAGAGAAAAAGATGCAACTATAAAAAAGAGAAAGATCACCGCAGTTGTTTTCTATCCCCACCAAGTAATTACACATGYTACAGTATCTGTGCAACACTGGCAGAGATGTCAGCTGCTCTCCCTGCAGTCATTCATCTTTGTTCTTTGATTTCCCTTGTTTTTCTACCCCTTTAAATCATATTGTTCTCTGCTCAACCCCCAGTCATCTGAATTCCACATCAGAAAGCAGAATAAGCCTTTTTTTATTGGATTACCTGAGTTTTGTCAGGGATCTTAATGAAATTTGCAGATGGTTATGAAACACGGCATGTTGTGAATTTGAAAGCAATCACTGYGAAACTGTTCAGACTGTGTCCTCCTGAACTCTTAAAATTCATGGTGCATCGACAAAAAAAAGTCACATCATTGCTTTTCATGCTGAGTTTGTGGGTTTTTAGGTTAAACTGTAACTGGATATCATGTCTTTTTGAGGTTTGCMATTCTGTTTACAGAAGGAAAATCAATAGTTGTTGATGCTCTAGAATTAACGTCTGCATCCAGTAAGTTAGCTTCTGGGAAACAAGTGAGCCAGCTGTTGTCTATCTGCCTCTCATGTCCTCAGTCTCTTTATTTCCTCCTTCTCTCACGTCTGTCTGTTTCCCATAAAAAGTGATAATGCTGAGAGAGATGGGAAATAAAGATAGACAAAATGTTGTCTCTGAACAGAGATTTACACAAAACACTGATACAACGATTAAATCAGTCAACGTAGAACATTTTTGATAAACATTTGCCTATCAGAGATGCATGTTCTGATCTTTTCTGAATAGAGGACTTTGTTTCAGAGGTCAGCCAGTCCAGTGCTTCCAGGCTCGCTGCTGTTTTGCGACACTCAGTGGGATGGCTCTGTTTGATCCGTCTGCTGGTTCCCATTGTACCGCAACCCTCTCCCCTTTTGAATTCAATATCTGAAACACTTTGATTAAATCACACTGCCATTGTTCGGCAAATGAAAATCCCCATTAAACGTTACACGATCAGTTCGAAAACAGAACTCTAGCCTTGAGGCGGTTGTGGTTTGTGGACAAAATAAAGCCCGAACTTCTTCTTCCAGGATCAGAAAGACATCAATGGGATGATTAACCTCCAGAACAACACCTACCGAGAACCATTCAAGCCTGAATGAAGGGTTGAAACGCGACACAGCAACTGTTCCCATGGAAATGGCCTGAACACATGTCATAGAAAGAAGAGCTCGCACTGCGGAGGGGAATAATAATGCAGGTGAGCCGTCTGAAGCGAGTTCTCTTTTGGGCCATGATCAAAATGCAAAGCCTGTGACAGAATGTCGTTTGGAAATCAAAAAAGGTGCTTCTAGTGAGAGAATAGCTTTGAAATGGAGTTCATCAGTCTCAAGTGGCGAGAAAGGCGGCCGCAGCACGCCTGAACCAAATGTTAGGGTCGGAGCTGAGCCATAGCAGGGCTCCTACCCTCTGGGGTCTGCAGTAGAACAGACTCTCTGCAGCAGAGAAATTACAGGAAACGAGGGAAATTAGGATTCTCTTGTTTTGCCAACAGATATGAAGGAGGACAAGAGGCATGAGAAGGAAAGAGAGGGTAGATAATAAGGTATATAGGAAATGGGCGGTTAAGCAAGCTGCTTTTTTCTTCTTCCCTTGTTATCCCTCTCCCCTTATCCTGGGCCTCTCTCTGGAGTCATGGGGGGTTGGGCATTCGGAGAGGGAGAAACTATTCCAGAAATGTCCTGTTACTTCCCTCCAAAAAGAAGGCCTTCCTTACTTTAAAGACATTACTCTGGTGGAGCTGCATTTCCACTGCACATTTTAGCAAACAGCTGATAGTGACGTTAAAAAAGAGAAATACCAGTTCTAGGGACAAAACCAGAAAACAAGCTTTAAAATGTTTAAGATGCCCCGTTGAACACTATCCTCCTCTGAGTCAGACGTAAMTAGAGTAACAGTTAAGAGAAAGGATGCTGTAGAGCCACATGAAAACCAACACCACAAAGCATTTTTTGTTTGACAAATTTTAGGCACGTTACAAAGATTCAAAGTGTTTATTGTCATAAACACAGATGAAATACGTTTCCCTGAGCAATGAAATTTTTACTTTGCCGACCACAGTGAATACCAAGAAAGAGAACAAGAACACAACAGATACTAAGACAGTAATAAGGGATAAAGGATAAAAAGACTGCACTTGGAACAAAAAGGAGACCAAACTAGAGATAATAACATCAAGAAAGAGAACAATACAATCAGTGTTTAAATGTGCAAATGTGCACAAGTTAGCAAGATGGAAAAAACAAAATAAGCATATTTACCCAACTAATACGACAAACATTTTCCAAATGCAACCAGTAATATTTACCGTAGTGTTTATGTGAATTTGCAAAAGGAATCAGATTTTGCAGGTTTTTACACCATCTTTCCCACAGCTTATCACAGATGGACCAAAATAAAATCTGAAGCAGCCACTCAGCAACAGCTGATGTTTGCTAACAGACTCAAATTTTACATCAGYGGAGGCTACATTACTGAGATGTTATCTAGGAGTTATTCAGGACACTGAGGTTTCAAAACAGTRGACTCAAGAGACATCACCATCTTTGACACGGTGAGGTCATCCCTCTATCTTTGCTCATGTGGCCATGTGTGTAATGACCAACACTCATCAGCTGTAAGGCTGCAGCTAACTATTATTTTAGTAAATCGGTCATTCTATCAATTGGATAAAAAACGGTCAGGTTCTGCAGTAACTAAAAGCTTATTTTAAGATTAATACAATTGTTTATTATCATGATGAGGTAATCTACACTTGCTGCAATCAAAGTAAAATTATTATACTAGTTATGTTTTAATTATAGAATTTAAGCGCCAATTGCTTGTATTTATGTSTGAAGTTTGACAGTGCCTTAATTAAAAGCGCTGTTATTAAATCGTTATCAACCATCACAGAAAAACCTAAAAGCTGTGAATTTGTTTTTATGGATTGAAAAACTGAATGTGATATTTTATGGTGTGTAAAATTTCAATGTAAAAGTTTGAATTTCACTTTGAGTTCATTTGTTATTGTTAATAGTGAAAAAGTACATTCATGTTTTTATTAAGACTGTTGTTGGCTCAGTGTTCCCATTTTAGGCAATAAAATATTAGTCGGCTGTTTAGCTATAAATAAACATGACAGTAGTAATAAACGAAGGTTAATGACAGGTTGAACTTGGACCTAAAACCTTAAACCTCGTCTTAAACCAGACAATATATGGTCATGTACAGCCATACAACTGACTCACTTTCAATTAAGTGCAATTTATCATTCTCACAAACCCAGACGTGACATTTTACAAATATTCAAAAATCAAGAGCTATTTAGAATTTCATTTTTTCGTTGATTAGATAGATTTCACTTTATCAACGCCTTCTTTGAAGACAGTGTCACAGTCGTCTGCAGTCAGGAACAATGAATTCTGTTCATGCAGGACACGGCCCTTCCAGTCTCTGCCAACGACCTAATTTTAGCAACATGGCGGACATGCACGTCCCTCCCCAGCACACTTCATTTTCTAAATTAGTTGGACCGCGCAGAAGGTTCAAGCCACACTTGACCGAATAAGGAACTGGAACGATGGAACAAGCGCCGCAGCTTTCCTCCTCCTGTTCTGACACAAAGCAGGAATGTCCGCCTGAGAGCGGGCAGCCACGGTAACGTTGTGGCGACGCCTCTCCACGTTTGCTGGAAAAGTCTACAGGCTGGGCTGGGCTTAGAACGGCAGCTGAAATGAAGAGTGTTATTTATATATATAATGTTAATGTAATTTGTCAGCTTGCAGGGAAATTAAGGAGGCATAATGAGTGGGATAAATTCAAACCCATGAGCCTTATACTTTGTCATATTTTCTGTTCTAACAATAAAAAAGGGAAACTGTTAAAATAAAGAGAGGATAGGCTCAATACCAAACACATAAAATGTTGTTTGTACGGTCAACAAAATACTTKTAAAGTGTTAACCCAATTTACAAYATTTGGACACTGAATATGACAAGCTAAGATATGTAAAWCATGGTGAAAMAAGGCCCTTGTTAATACATTTAACAAATGTGCTCAATTATTTTAACAGACTTTGTTTAAAGTCAGCACTGAGGCTTGGMCCTATGACGAGTGACTCAGGCTGGGCTGGGTGGGTATTTAAAGCTCCTACCAAAGTTAGAAAGATGACTGCACAAAGGTGTTGCATTCTGCTGGAACTTGGAAACACCAACACCTCCTTGGTGTGACTCTGACTCAGGCAGGCATCACTTAGTGGAAAGCTTTAAAAATCCCGTCAGACATGACYACTGTGTTGGATCGCTCTGTGAAAACAATCTGATTCAGTGGAAAGTTGGATCCCGATGCCCCCACACCATAAAGAGCACAGATGTAAGCTAGCTTAGTGAAATGGGACAAAGATATTTWAAAAAAAGGAAACCAGTGGGTTTCAATACCACTAGG